ACATATGCACATGCTTTGTATGTATCTGTATAGTTTCAGGTAAACAACAGCTCCTACATCTAAGACTCAGAGAACACCGAGTCAGAATATTGGGAAGTCTGCTATGAACCTCTCTCACCTAGAAATGGCAGCCTCTCCAAAAATGACACTATCAGCAGACATGCTAACATGGAAGGAGTTACATCCCATAGGGATCCACCTCTCGATGAAGACCAATAGGCAGCTTAAGACAGCAACTCAGGAGCCAGGGAGAAGTAGCCCTTCCCAGGGATGAGCCCCTAACTGGTTACCTGCTATAATGTGGTGAGCTCCGAAGTCCACACAAACAACGGGCGTGAACCCAGCATAGTATATTTATATGTCTGTGCGTGTGCACACATGCATTCATGTGTAACAGTAATAAAGAATCGATTTAGGGAGGCACATGGAAGGAGCTGGAGGAAGGAGACTTGGGAGGGGCTTGATGGAGAAAGAGGAAGGGGAAGGTGATATCATTATACATATACATATATATGAAATACATACATACATACATACATACATACATATGTGAAAGTCATCGTGGTGCAGGAGAGACGACTCTTGCAGTGGCGAAGAGCACTTGCTACTTTTGCAGAAGTTTGCTTCCTCATGGCAGCTCACAAGCTCCTGTCACTCTTGTTCCACTGAGGTTAACACACTTTTCTGGCCGTCAGGAGACACTAGGCACACCATACATAAATGCAGGCAAACACTCGGAAAAATAAGTAAAAATATTTAAAAAAGAAATTCACCTGAGCTCAAATTCTTTAGTCAGAGTTCTTAAAAAAAAAAAAAAAAATCTAAAGCAGACTTAACACTTCAGGTGCCTAAACCAAAATGAACAAATTGCAATTAAGAAAACATATCCTTAATTACCCTGTAGTAGTCACAGTTTCCCTTTTGACATAGGGTTTGTTGTTCCCGTCTTCCTAGAGATTTATTAAAAATATGATAATATTTTTTTATTTAGATTTGAAGCAAGCTTGTTTTACATGTCAATCCCAGTTCCCTCACCCTCCCCTCCTCCCCTGTTCCCCTCCCAGCCCCCATCCCATCCCCTTTCTGCTCCCTAGGGAGGATGAGGCCTTCCAAGTCTGTCATCTCATTTGGAGCAGGGCCTGGGCCTTCCCCCATGCGCCTAGCCTGAGAAAATATCCTTCTGTGTGGAGTGGGCTCCCAAAGTCCATTCGTATACTAGGGATAAATACTGATCCACTACCAGAGGCCCCGTAGATTGCTCAGATCTCCTAACTGACACCCACATTCAGGGACTTGGAGTTGGTCCTAAGCTGGTTTCCCAGCTGTCAGTCTGGGGTCCATGAGCTCCCCCTTGTTCAGGTCAGCTGTCTCTGTGAGTTTCCCCAGTCTGGTCTTGATTATCATTTGCTTTTCATTCCTCCCTCTCTGTAACTGGATTCCAGGAGTTGGCTCAGTGTTCAGCTGTGGGTGTCTGCTTCTGTTTCCATCAGCTACTGGATGAAGGCTGTAAGTTGGATTATAAGGTAGTCATCAATTTCATTATTGGGTAAGGGTAGTTAAGGTAGCCTCTCCACTATTGCTCAGATTGTTATTTGGGGTCATCCTTGTAGATCTCTGGACATTTCCCTAGTGCCAGATTTCTCTTTAAACCTATAATGGCTCCCTCTATTATGGTATCTCTTTTCTCTTGCTCTCCTCTATTCTTTCCGTGACTCAATCTTCCTGCTCCTTCATGCCCTCCTCTCCCCTCCTCTTCTCCCCTCCCCCCTCTCTCTTTATTTAAAAAAATCTGCATGTTTCTCAAAGTTAAAATGTAACCTAGTTTGCTTCTAATTTTTATTACTTTAATTCCCAAGGCCAGATGAGGGTGGATTTTAGCAGGATCAGAATAGGAAAGCAAAAAAGAAAAAATAAAACCAAACAAACCAGTCTGCAGAACACTAAGAAAGCAGGCCTTTCTCCTGGGTTTTCTCTTGACCTCTGTGGCAGGGCTGACGGAGAGGAGGTGAAGGAAGGGGAGGGATTTCTTGGCTCTGCTGAGGTCAAAAGGAAGCAGTCATCCTGAGGAAACAGAACAGAACTGCAGTCAGATGAAGCCCTCACACAAGTCTCTCCCGACAGTGAAGCTATGGTGACTTTTAAATTGCTGAAGTCAAAGAAGGCAGTTGTCTGCATAGTGGGATCTTAGGGGCGAGTGTTGGAGAAGCAGCCTCAGTGTTCAAGTCAATCGAAGGAGACTACACTTAGGGGAGGGTTACTGTTGCTCTGTGGCTTCTCGGGGATGTTGCCTGGGATGTCGCCTTTAGTGGAAACTCATCAGATTTGACAATGTAGAAGTTGAGGTTAGGAATTTGAAGCACCCCTTCCCTTCTGCCTCCATCTTCCAGGGAGCAGAAACCAGAAAACGTGAGGTAATGTCAGACCTGGGGACTCATGTGTTTTCATCAAATCATTATTCCTTTCTTTGTTTTTATCAGAACATTTAGCACGGGCTAAGATCATGCATACTTTTCATTGAATAGGGACACCTTCCTAGACCTAGAGTAGAGTTACTAATGGCAGTATCCTCTGAATGGCTCCCTTGGATGTCACCCTAAAGGCACTGCTCTCTGAAGCATCCATCCCTTCTGACCTCCCATGGTGGCTGTTTTATTTGGCTATTGATTGGTATTACACAACCCTCTTAATGCTAATATTAGGCAATGCTTTGTCAGGGCACTTGGGGGAAAACCACGGTTTATAGGTAGAAAGTTCATTCAGAAAGTTTGAATGACGTGTCTTGGATGCACCATCAGCCAATTGCATGCCCAACCGTTGGACTGTTAGCAAATTTGGTAAGGTGACTTGCTTATCACTGCTGTGTGATTTGCATTTCTTCAGGTGAGCGTGCATTATTTAGAGGAATGCAGAAAGCTCCTTTGTACTCAATATCATACATTTTTAATGCCTAATGATTATATAGGTAATCTCATACAAGGGAGCAAATTGTTTCCCTTTGCTTATCATTATAAATTTCCCTCTCAACAAATTAAAAATGCAATCATCATCCCCGGTCAGATGGGCAGGAAAACAAAGGCCTATTAAGAATTTGCCTTTCCTCTGGTGAACTGTGTTATCAATAATCATTGTAGTCCATAATGTATGTGGTCTGGCATGACATATTAATTTGTGCTGATTTAATGGTGGAGAAACCATTACCATTTTAGTTTAGCTGTTTTTGTGTTTTTTCCCCCCTCTTGGGGGACCTGTAGTAGTCACGTGCCCTCTGTGAATGAGTATTCTTAATGGTAATCACACTGACTGGTGTGGAGTAAATGCAATAAAAATTAAAATTAAGAGGCCTAGTTCTTCCGGTTACAAAGAAAGCAGATTTCCTTCCTCGTTCTTTTCCTTCAGCCTCAGAGAATGTGTCATTGTAAGTTCTTTCTCCTGTCTTTGAAATGTTTATTAACCCTTTTGGGCCTTCTGTCAGCTTTAGGGTTTAGGAATGTCTTCCTCCAGGATCTGGAAGCCATCCCTTTGAAATATAAGTCTCACGGGAGACATCATCCCAGACTCCCAGTTTCTCTGGGAGCATGGACATCTAAACTCCTAGGGGCGGGCTTATTCAAATTGCGAAGCCCTTTCCTGTCACTGAGGTATGAGAAACTTGGTTCTGCTCCCAATAAAGCCAGTTAGCTTAGTGGTTCTTAACCTATGGGTTGTTGAGTAACCCTTTCACGGGGGTCACCCAAGACCATTGGAAATATCAGATATTTACACTACGATTCATAACAGTGGCAAAATGACAGTTACGAAGTAGCAATGGAAATAATTTTATGGTTGGGAGGGTCACCACAGCTTGGTGCGGGACTGTGTTAAAGGGTTGCGACCTTAGGAAGGTTGAGAACCACTGAGGTATTTAACGCAGATAGAAGGTCGCCAGGTGCCTTTGGGACGAAAAGTGTGTGACAAGTTTGGGTCTTCTTACTTGAGGACTTATTATTGCTTATCTTGAAACTGCATATAATTATTGGTATTTGCCCGACATATAACAACATGAGGTGACACTCAGCCTTCGTATCTGCTGGCGGGTTTCTCTGATGTATGTGTGTTACACGATGGTTTCATGCCTATTCAGCAATACAAATGTTTTCTTTTTAACTATGTCTATGGAGAAGGTTCCTAGGTGTGGGAGATTTTCCTTTTAATTCTATTTCCATACTAATGAAGGCAGCTCGTTGTAAAACAGCCTGTCTTGTGGTTGTGTGGTCTGTCCTCTTTAATCAGATGTGCATTTCACCAGGAAGCCCCATGGCTAAAATCACAAGGGATTAGATATATTATGAAAAGCAAAGCAAAGCAAAGCAAATAAACAAAAAGCAAAGCGGGGAAGGAAAAAAAGCAAAGAACAAAAAGCAAGACCGACCGTGTCATTAGCATTATCTGTTTTCTGCAGATGGCCCACCTCCCAGATCCTACCGTGAGAGCTATTGAGAGGGACAGGATCCATTAAGTGGCATGTTTGTCACTGCTTCTTTCCATGGTTACTCTGCATAGTCCCCTGAACAACCTACTCTTAGGCTGATGGTGACCGATGCAAGTTATAACTATTCGTTTTAAGTATCACTTGCTTCCCATTATATTGTTGTGGGACTCTGCAAAATGGGAAGTGTGGCATTGCAAAGGTGACCGGAGGCACAGCAGTGGTCTATGCCTCTGGGATTGCAGAGGTCTGAAACAGGGCTTGATGTTAATATGTGCTGCGGTGCACAGGCACAACAGGGTTAGAAGAGATGGAGTTTGACCCCGAACTCTCAGCCTCCGTCCTTGCCTTTGTCTCTGAATCTGAGCAATGACTGAGTAATTAGACACTGCTCACTTACCGCTTATCATTTCCTATCAGTACGTAGCGCCCTGTCTTGCCAGCTCCTTGGTGGAGAGGAAGAAACATGTGGTCTGTAAATAGCTATTCTGCTCGACTGTTTGCTGTTTTAATTTGAAGATTTGGAGCTGGGTGACAAAGAGATCGTTCGTTGCCTCTAGGTTCGGATGGGGTAAGTGCATGACTTACTTCTTCAGCCTTCGGTAAGACCAGACATGAAAGCGTCCAGTTAGACATACAGCGATTATTACAGTTTATAAGAAAGGGTCTCGGTTGGCAAGCGAACGCTGGCAATTTTGGGGAAGCAACCTTGCTGAAATAAGAGCAAGTGGACTTTGATCAGTTATTTCCTCTGGTGTCAAGTTTCTGGTTTCAGCAGCAAGCTGTAATAAGTGCGAGATAGATAGCACATTGGAATAATGCCTTCTTGCGAGATGATAGCACAATGCCTTCTACCAGTCTTTCTGAGTGGGAGCTCTGATCAGAGGAATGGAGTTTGTATAAGCGAGTTCACATATCTATTGTCGAAGGGCTGGTGATTGCATGTGCACAGGAGAAGTCAAGGAGGCTTGAACGGGAAGCACATGTTTCTTACTTGGTTGGCTAGACTGTTGGTAAGTCAGAGGAGACAACGGAACAGCCGTGCTCAAGACAGCCCCAGAGTCATCTTTGGTCATGCCAATGAACATTAAACACTGTAGCCAAGGCAGTAGCTAGTCCTGCTCCCATGCATTGCATATTTTATTGTCATTTATTCTACATTAAGCCGATGAAGAGATTGGCTCCTGGGCACACTCTTGTGCTATATAGTAAAGGGTTGATTTAGTTTTGGGGGGCAGCTGACTGTGGAGCTCTGCACTGTCGTGATGTTTCAGAGCTGTTCCACAATGCTGTTTAACATATAGCTCGGCTCTTGGAGTTTTCTGGACAAGATCCCAGAGGTTACCGGCACAGCAGTGAGTTTGCATTCCACCCTGGCGTCTGTGTTTACCGTGGTGCAACAATGTGGAACTCGATAAGCCACTCGTCAGCTGCCGCCAGCCAGGGGAAGGGTTCTGACTCTCAGGAAGTGTCAACTTGATGCTAGTAAATGTTGGTACTTAATTTAATTATGACCTTTACAATACACTTTTTGAAGAAAAGAATCCGTTCGCTTCTCATAGTTAAGATTCTGTGTCTGATGTTTTAATGGTCCCAAAAACCGAGATCCAACTGTTGTCCAAATAACAGCTTTTGTGAGTACTTTTTGATTATGTAATTTAAAAGCAAAGAAAATATAATCAAGCCGTGACAGAGGGGTAATATAATGAGAGCTCAAAACTGTCTCCACTTGTGCACTTCTAGTTAGTTATGCAGCAAACAGCAGTTTGGTCAACTTCTCAGCCAAGCAAAGTCCTATCGGCCCTTCAAGACCCTTCATTCTGTTTCTTCCTTCCTTCCTTCCTTCCTTCCTTCCTTCCTTCCTTCCTTCCTTCCTTCCTTCCTTTCTTTCTTTCTTTCTTTCTTTCTTTCTTTTAAACGAGTCTTCACTGAATTTTCTGCAGATGACACAACTAACCCCTCTGAACATTTTGTCCTTATTTTGTTGGCATTTTCCATTTTACAATTGCTCTCTTCCTTCTTCCTTTGTGACTTTCTCGGGGACAAGGACTATTTGCTTTTTAAAATTAAAATACACTTTTATTATTATTATTATTATTATTATTATTGTGTGTGTGTGTGTGCACACGCGCATGCGCAGGTATGGGTCTGTGTATGCCGCAGTGTACCCGTGGACGTCATCGAACAACTTTAGGGAGTTAATTCTCTCCTTTTGATCCTGGGATGTAGTCAGACAGGGTCTGCAGAAAGCAAAAGCTTTTACCACTGTTGTCTCACGCACTAAGGCAGTAGCTCTCAACCTGTGCCCCATGACCCCAGAGGACCTGCATGTCAGATTACCCTGCATACCGGATATTTAGGTTAGGATTTGTAACAGTAGCAAACCTACAGCTATGAGTTAGCGATGGAAATAATTTTGTGGTTGGGGGTCACCACAACATGAGGGACTGCACTGAGCGGTCAGCATTGTGACGTCGAGAACCGCCGCACTAAGGAAAGGGACTTTCTCTCATCTATTTTTGTCTAACGCCACACTTGGCAATCAGTCTTAGAATGGGTACGTAGTAAATATTTTGTGAAAAAGTAAAGAAACGGAAGAGGTCTCACAGAGACTCCAGGAATGGTCTGTCTTCACTGTGCCAGAGTTGAAATTTTGTACATATGGCCCATCTGATGGATTGCTCTTACAAAAACCATACTCAGGGTCTTGGAACTCACCTGCCATATAGAAATAACGTGGAGTACAATTATAATATACAGGTCTTTGCCTTTAAGACTAGAGAGTTATGTTTAGGCTTACAGAAGCACTGATTCTCAGTCTAGGGACAGTTTGTAACCAAGGTGTACACAATGACCGTGCCTGTCACAGTAACAGTTTGCAGATTAAACATTCTTCATAAAGTCTGCTTGGTAAAGCGTTGGCTCCCAGCCTTGTGCTATTGGGAGCTAGTGGAACCTTCTAGAGATGGGCCAGCAGAGACCCTCAAACCCTGGCTTCATGTCCTTGAGGGGATCGTAGTCCCTGCACATTGCACATGATTTTCTTTCTACCTCTTTCAATTTGTGACTTTAGGTGAGCTGCTTTATTTTACTCTGTGCCCTTGTTGTGATGTGTTTTCTTCCCTACCCAGCCTCCTTGCCCCCAAATTCAGCCAGTCATGGATGGGGAATCTCTGAAACCATGGGCAAAATAAACTTTTTCTCCTGATAAAGCAATTAGCTAAGGTATTTGTTTTAGGGACAGAAAAGTAACAAACCAGGCAAATGTTAAATGTCTTTTGTGGTTATTTCCAACTAAGATTCAGAGTCATTATAACTTTATCATGGATGAGAGACAAGTTAATTCTTTATAACTGGAAGTTCACTTCAGGAGATAGTCTGATACTTGGTGGTAACCATAGCACTGTATGCCTCCAATGCATTAGTCAGGCATGACTTAGACAGGCATAGGTCAGTGGGGAGGAGCCTACGGAGAGTACTGGTCTCTGAGAATTTGGTATCTTTTAGGAGCTTCAGAATTCTCCCAAGTTTTTTATTTTTTATTTTTTTTTATTCTGGCATACTCTTGAGCAACAGGCTCTGATTGTAGCTGTTATTTGGATAACTTCCAGCGAAATTTGTGTGTTTGACATTGTGGCTTGAATTGTTTGAACATACATATCTCAACCTCCCTAAACCTCTGACCTTTTAATGTAGTTCCTCATGTAGGGCCACACCCCTCAGCTATAAAATTATTTTGTTGCTACTTCATAACTGTGATTTTGCTACTGCTGTGAATTGTAATGCCCATATCTGATATGCATGATATCTGACCTGTGACCCCTGTGAAAAAAAGCCACATTCAACCCCAAAGGGGTTATGACCCACAGTTGAGAACTACCATCTTAAGATACCATGATAGGATACTGTTCTACAGGAAAACACACAATGGCCAAGATGTCCTTTTCTGACATTTCTGCTACTTACATAAACATTCTGAGTCTCAGTGGTCTCAGTGTCTGCCATATAGGGATGGAGTAGTGTCTGTATTCAGGCTGCTCAGGGTTAGATGCTGCCTGTTCATGTGAAGCCCTGTTCCCATTGTAGTCTATGGGCTGACAACTTTGAAACCAAGAGCACAGAATACAGTTACCCAAGCAGGGCTGCTTGGCCCTGAGAATAGAGTCACTTTCTGAACGCAGGTCTCAGGAGACGCATGCAGGGTGGCTGTCATTGTCACAGGATTACGCAGACTGCTGATTTTAGATTACTGGATGAGGAAGAACTTGCAAAAGGGACCTCTAACAAATAATATTTTCAAATTACGCTAGCAGGTATGAATAGATGAGTGATTGAAAATACAGCCCACCTTGCAACTTCAGCTTATATTTAGAATTTAGGGAATTTATTAGAAATCCCACACCAAACTATAGAGGTGTATAATTACAGCCACTTTTCATGTTAGTGAAGGTGGGACTTTTTGTTCATAGCTCTTCTTTCCAAAACTTCAATTCTATATAATTCTGAAGGCGAGGGAAAAACAAACAAACAAACAAACAGCCAGACAGACAAAACCCAAGGCTTTTCTGAATGAGTAGTCTCAGAGACCCTGCCATTAATACAGAGGACTGAACTTGAGGGTTATTTCAATATTTTAATGTTTCTCAATGAATGGAATGTATAGTAATTCAACAACTTTTTTTTTTATCTGTCCAGAAAAAAATTGTTAAGGCCAAGCTTATAGGTCTTGCTTCCTGTGTGTGTGTGTTGTGTGTGTGTGTGTGTGTGAGAAGTTATTTTGAGGTGGATTTTGTGTCAGACATAATACACAACCACAGTAAATGGAATAATAAGACTCTTGACCTGGAGGAATGACAAAGAAAAATAAGCCTTTAAGGGAAAATGTTCAATATTTTCTACGTTACAAGGCTATCTATATCCCCAACATATTCCATTGTAAGGCATTTATTGACTAAAACATGGTCTAAATGAAAACATCTGGGAGCTGAGGGAGACAGAATAACATGGCGAAGATGTGTTCCTCCAGCTAGACTGGGGCACAGATCGTCTCTCACATTTGTCATGCAAGTGAATTATTCAGTGCTGAGTCTCAGGGCAGTGGCCTGTGAAGTGGAGCCTGCGGAGTTGCTGTGGGGCTGGGGTGACTTCATATGCACCTAGCATAGCCAGCTGGAGCCTGGCTCAAGGCTGATTCTCAACGTACTCTTTGCCTCTTGTCTCAGGTTCATTGAACATATAATACAACAGCGGAAAAGATTCAAATGGCCACTTATCTAAAAATGGCATTCTCAATGACGTACCGCTGCATGGTTACTTCTTTGACTGAAAAATAGATATGTGATGCCCACTTCAACAGGAGCGGGGGGGGGGGGGTTGAACTCCACAATTAAAACATAGTTTTAAAATCTTGAATGACCTAGGTAATGCTAAAAACTTGTAGCTGTGAGCATGTCATAAAGGCGTAGAGTGTTGTGAGACCTCAAAGTTAAGACCTTTAGATACAATTTATTTATTGCCACAGCTGTTTAAGAAGACTGATCACATTCTTGTATTAAATGCACTTTTAAAATA